ACTAAATTAATGGATATTGAACTGTTTACTGCTTAAATTGCGATATTGAATACTAAATTATACTAATTGCTGAAATTGTTTATGCTCTGAGTTATAATACCAAAATAAAGAATTATGAATATTTACTGAATAAACTGATTTAGAGGATTTGATGATTGAGTGTGTGCATATTTTTGTTATGGACACTATCCTTTTTCCTTACTGAGTCCATTAAACTCACCCCAATTCACATCCCTCAATGCAAATTAGTTCAGATTAAGAGCAAATTCAACGTCGAATGAAGACTTTAAAGAACCTTTAGTGACTGTAAGAGTTCGTCTTATAAAGTCAGTTTAATTATGTTATAATAATGCAATGTAAAGGATTTTGTAAGCCTTCATGACTTGTAATTCTGTATAGGGAATGACTAAATCTTAAGTTTTCGTTCATTACTACATATATTTATTAGGTTATGTGTGTGAAGTACTGTTTATTTTTTAACAGAGAAAGTGGATCGTTACAAGCAATTTATGTGCAACGTTGCCTTCAAGTGATCCTTCTATTAAATGAAAACCAGATTTTGACTTAAAAATTGAGGTAGAATATAACAGCCCCAGAAAAATTTAATATTGGAAAGGCATATATATAGATAAATAATCTGAATTTGTGGAAGCGTATTAAACATTGCGATTAACATCCCTTACGCAATACCAAAACGTGTTCAACAAATGAGGGAATAAACTAATTAAAATAAATGCTCGAAAGTAAGAACTACAATTATAACTATGGGATCTTTTGGCGTCCCCTTCGCCGTCTTCCTGTGGAACGGGCTCGGGAACCACGTCTTCCTGATCTGAAATGGTTAAGTAAGGAGTGAGCTACACTAGCCTAGTAAAGAAATCACTCTACCTCACTGCCACAGGAGTAAGGGTGGATAGAAAACAAAAACGACCAATGGAGCATAATTTGTAATAAACCCATTTATTCATAAAAACGTTTACTTTCCATTTATCTGTGTGAGATCCATAAAACAATACACAAGCAACACATTATCATCATCACGTTATCACATAGACTTTATAATACAATATTTATCACGCGTTTGCATTTCAATCTTTAAACAGCATAATTCCTCTTTACCAGCCTACTAGTATCCATGGGGATCCATAGGGGTCCCGTTACCTGTGAACCCTTAACATTTATAACCTGATTCCAGGGCCGTCCCCATACTCCGTCCGGTATGGGCGCCAAAACCATGAACCTCAATACCTCGTCCGGTATGAGGGTGAAACGGGCCGTCCCCATACTCCGTCCGGTATGGGCGCCAAAACACATAAGGTCTCCATACCCCGTTCCCGGTAGGGTTCCCTACGGACCCGGTCCGTCCACCATCTCCCAGGATACCTAGTTAGGCTGTCCACATTATCCGTTTCCCAATTCACATAACCTTTTATCCCTTTTTCTTTAGTCACCATCATCAAGTCACACACAAACATGCAAACCAGTAGTTCATGCCAACAAGACAACACACAACATGGGGTTCTCAGTCATTCAGTCCATAATCAATGAAACAGTGATACATGCACACGAAACTATGAAATAAAAACATCAGACATCATACTGCATTTAAAACTGTAAAATAAAACAAACAACAACTGACCGACAAATACACTAGACTCGGGCTCCATTAGCAACCTTAAACAATTTCACACAGCTATTGATTCATGAAATACCATTTTATCATTTATTGCACTTTAATACCGTGATAGGAAATAGGGTGAGGAATCCTTACTTGTTTCGGGGTCTGAATACGGCCCTACAGTGTGCCTACAGGCTGTCCTAATTTTCTCTGAATTTTTTTTGGGGAGCTGAAACGCACTACTGGTACCTGCACGTGTCCCAAAAAAATCAAATTAGATCTAGGGCCCCTTTCGGCCAATATCGCAATTCCGGCACGGCGGCTCCGCTGTGCTCCGGCGACGGCGCCGCCGCTTGCGGGGGCGATTCGTCTCGGGTTGGCCATTTTTGGCCGTTTCCGGCCGAATTCGACCACACTTGCATCGGTCCCTGCGATAAAACAACCCTAGGGCCCTCGGGGGGCAAACAATTTACGAAAAACCAAAGCTTACCGGCGGCAGTGCTCTCGGGTGCGGCGGCTCTCCGGCGTGGTTCGTGTTTTGGTGATTTGGCTCCGATCAACCTGTAGAGAAAAGAATGGTGATCACGGTGATATAAAAATTGTATCAAACGGAGGCCGGGAAGGGCCTTATCGAAGGCAAAAATCGAGGAGGGGCGCAGCGGCGCCGCTGGGTTTCGGCCGTATTTTTCAACCGTTTGGCTGGGAGTTTGGCTCCGATTTGGCCACAGGGGAACTCAGCATTGAAAAACGAGCTGGGGGTATGAAATTTACCTCGATCGGTGGTCCGAAAACTCCCTGGTGCGGCGGCGGGTGGTGGCGGCTGGCTCCTCCAGCGAGGGCTGGCGGCTGGGGTTTTTGTGGTCAGGTGTGGGGGGTTTATTTATACCATTTGCTTTTTAATCACAGCCGTCTATATTGATTTAATCTGGACCGTCCATGGTGATTAAATCTGGACCGTCCGTACTTGATTGAATCTGGGCCGTCCGTGCGCGTGCATCTGGGCCGTCCGTGCGTACGCTTGATCTGGGCCGTCCGTGCGCGGGGACGCATCATGGCCGTCCGATCGCGCGCACGCGGATCGTCCACGTGGCTCGTTCCCGAATCGGCGTGGCCTTGCCACGCGGCAGGTCCTGGATGGGCCAAGGCTGTTGACTGGGTCGCTGATGTGGCGCTGACGGGGGCACAATTTTTTTAAATTACGTTTTTGACCCCCGGGTTTCCGAATTTCTTTTCAAAAATACCCCCAGAATCTAATTTTTCACCCATTTTTTTTAAAATTAATTTTAATTAAATCCAAATAGTATTTTTACCCAATTTTATCATTATTAGTATTTTTATATTCACAAAAATTAATTTAAATTAAATTAAATAAAAAAAATAAATAAAATAGAAAAAATTATTTTGGGTGTTACATAGAATATATGAGTTTTTGTAAGGAGCTCGATAAGAAAATTTAGTATAAAAAGATGCCTTTAAGGGCTAAGATCCAACGCATTTATCTTAATTAGGAGATGTAGAAGATAGTTTTATTTTATTTGTTTTTGCTACTGTGTTGTTTGGAAAAATCTTATTAATAATACTTGTATTCCATTGTCTCATATTTGCATGTATTAGTTGATTAATAGCACTATAACCACTTGTTATATCAGTGTTTAGTTTAAATCCTTCAATTGTTGGATCCAATTATCAAACCATATACTGTTGGTTTTTCAATCTCCTATTAATCTACACTATCTATATTTAGTACTTTCTTATTTTAAGTATTTGGCTTGTATAAGGTTGATCAATGGTTTTTTGACTTCACTCTCAATCTTCCATCACAGTTTTGTTACCAAGGTAAATTTGTACTCCTTTAGCTTTTTGAAACCCGATCCTCCTATGGATTTAGGCTTGTATAAACTGAAGCCATGGGATAAATTTTCGCTTAGATGCCACTAAAATTTTATGATGATCTTTTTCATTTCCATAATAAGTTGTTTAAGCATAATAAATGTAGACATGAGATAAATTGGCATTGGTATTATGTTTAATACTGTTTTGATAACTATTAATATGTCTACATGGGGAAAAAAAACGACTTTTCTAGCCATCCAATTTAGATTTCAATTTGTCAAACACTTGGTTGAAGGTGTCCTTATTCAATTTATTAAATTGGAATAACAATCCCAAGTGCTTGTTACAATCTTCTAAAAGTTTAAACTTGATAACAAATATTAATATCTTAATATTTCTCATTTAACTTGTAGTTTGGGTAAGTAAAGAAAATATTAGTAGCTTTTAGTGGGCAGGCAGCTCAAGGGAAAGTTGCCCTTTTTTAGCCAACCCTATCTGTAACTTATTCATTATTGATGAAATTGTGATCTTTTAAAGGAGGGATACCAAACTTGCTCAAAGAGTATGAAAGTGCATGTGCCACCAGTTAGTTAATAGGTGTTTATGGTACAAGAGTTCATTGAGTATTTTTGCCTAAAAACAAAGTGAGGACTTTCGTTTATTTTAAGATTGTACTAACCATGCACAATATTTTGCAATTGTGACAATTTACTAACCATGCACAATACATAAAAGATAAAACAGACTCTTATGCTTTGATTAATTATATTGTTCAAATGTCGTATTAAGTGAATCAATTAAAGGGGAAAGTTTGAGAAATTCAACGGGATATAAAATCATGATGTGACAATTTACTAACTCTATTCATTTCAATTAACAATCTAACAATTAATTATTTACGTTTTTCAAAAATTTTAAGAATTCATGTCGGAAACATATTTATTTGTAAAATTTTTAAGCATATATAACATATTATTTAATTAAAAATATTTATAAATATTTTAAATTCAAATTTATTTTCTACGAAAATGTGGGACCCACGTGAGGATGTAATGACGTGTGAGGCCCAAATATTCTGTAATTAAAACCTGCTTGGCTAGCCGGTGCTGATAAGGAATTGGGCTGGGCCCAACTGATGCATTTTTACATGTATAGAATTTTCGGTAAATTTATTTAAAAATTTATATTTAATTTTCTTTTTTACTTTGTTTAGTCCATTTCTCGTTAGAAGTTATATATTTTATTATATTTAATTTTTATTATAAAAATTACTCCTCGAAAATAGTTGTTTTATCCTTGTAAAAACTCAAATTTATTTTTCTTGTAAAAATTTGCGGTTCAAACACAAACTGCGGTCTGTCCAGGATATATATATATATATATATATATTTATTTATTTTAAAAAATTAAAGTAAAAGTAAAAAGAAATAAAAAAAAAAGAAAAAGCAAAAAAAAACAGACCCAAAAAACGTGTTCCCATAAACTTGGTGACGGCTGTCCCAACCTCCCAACCTCTCCGCCTTATATAAACCCCCTGTTAAAATCTCTCTACGGCTACCATTTCTATTTTCTGCTTCTACTCTCCCTCTCTCTGCAACCTCCATTTTTCTTCCCTGCAAAACTCTTGCATCCAATGTCGCCCACCCTGCAACTTTCCTCTCTACCTTCTTCTCCTTCTTCTTCATTCTCTGCTTCTAAGGTTTCTCAATCCCGTTCGCTTCTTCTGATGTATCCATCTCTATTTCCTCTGTCAATGTTAGTGTTATTGTTGTTTCTGTACTGTGTTTTTCTTCAACGGCGGCACTCAAGGCACAAGCGTCTTCCCCCTGGCTCAATGGGCTGGCCTTATATAGGAGAAACCCTCAAGCTCTACACTGAAAATCCAAATTCCTTTTTCGCCGTCAGACAAAAAAGGTTCATCCTTTTTTCTAATCACTTTCAATCAATTTATCAAAACATAAACTTGACATTCATAATCTTGTGGTCTATATATATATATATAATCAGAACAAACACACACACACACACACACACAGAGAAATGAAAGATGGGTTGAATTTGTTGAGTGTATGTATAGGTATGGGGATATATTCAAGACCCACATACTAGGTTGTCCCTGCGTGATGATTTCAAACCCAGATGCAGCTAGAAGTGTCCTGGTCAGCATGGCTCATCTCTTCAAACCAACTTACCCACCAAGCAAAGAGAAAATGATAGGACCAGAAGCCATCTTCTTCCACCAAGGTGCCTACCATTCAAGGCTGAAAAAACTGGTGCAGGCCTCATTTTTGCCCTCTTCAATTAGGGACTCTGTCAGTGAGATTGAGCAGATTGTTTTGAGGTTCCTTCCCACTTGGGAGGGCACAACTATCAATACTTTGCAAGAAATGAAAAGGGTATTTTTCAAAATTTCAGAAAAAAAAATAAATACATACTCTTTTTCCTGGTTGATTCTTTAATATTGCCTTGTGAGTGCTTGAATTAATGCCTGCATTAACATGATTAGAAGGAGTCTGATGAGAGGTGTTTGGGATTTTGTTTAGTATGCTTTTGATGTGGCAATGATCTCTGCATTTGGAGACAAACAGGGGTTGGAAATGGAAGAAATTAAGCAACTTTATCAGTGCTTGGAGAAGGGTTATAATTCCATGCCATTGGATCTTCCTGGAACTCCATTTCGCCGAGCAATGAAGGTAGTAGAATCCATGAAACACTATCTGATTTTGATCTTGTTTCAGGAAAAAAAGGATTATTAATTTTTCTGGTTGAATGTGTTTTAAGGCAAGAGAGCTTCTGAATGAAATGTTGAAGAAGATGATAGAGAAGAGAAGGGAAAGTGGAGAAGAAGGTGGGGGATTGTTAGGAGTGTTATTGGGAGCTAAAGATGATCATAACCAGAAGCTTAATAATTATGAGCATCTGCTTAGTGATTCTCAGATTGCTGATAACATAATTGGAGTCATCTTTGCCGCACATGACACAACAGCAAGTGCTTTAACTTGGCTCTTAAAATACTTGCATGACAATCAGGATTTACTCGAAGCTGTCGTGGTAATCACTTGTTTATATACAATATATATACGCATATCTATGTATCTCTGTTTTTTCATTTACTAAGTTGTTTCTTTTTTCAATAAAAAATACAAATTTCAATTTATCATAAACATTACTCATTTCCTGCAGAGGGAACAAGAAAGCACTCGACGCAAAATAGCAGAAGCGGATCGCGTGCTTGCGTGGGATGATACCAGGCGAATGCCATTGACGACTCGGGTATGAAATTATATTAAGAAAATGTTGCACTAAACTGTAGGTATATATATATACTGTTGGAATAGAAAAATAAGAATAAAAGAAGAAAATTAAATATTGATATAAATTTAATTTTTATTAGAATTTCGTTACAGTCTATGATCACTTATCATTTTCCTAGATGGAAAATTTATCACGTGTCAGTTTTTTTTACATAATACATAATTTAAATTAATTAAAATTTTAATAAAAGATAAATAGTAAATTTATTTAATAGGCTTATATAGGCATATAAGTGTAGACGTATATGTACGCATAGATGATGCATGTATGTATTTTTAGTACGTATAGGGAGCTGAGTAGGTAGAGACTGGAATTCCAGGTGATACAAGAGACACTGAGAAGAGCAAGCATCCTGTCTTTTACTTTTAGAGAAGCTGTCCAAGATGTTGAGTTTGAAGGCTACTTTATCCCTAAAGGTTGGAAGGTTTTACCTCTCTTCCGGATCATTCATCACTCTGCAGATTTCTTCCCTCACCCCGATAAATTTGACCCTTCAAGATTCGAGGTACGTACATATATATATATATATACATACATACATACATACATACATATCTATATTTACTTACCTGCATGTTTGTTTTATATTTTGATGAAAATATCTCCAGCGAGACATGATTAAATATTTTATTGTTTTTCGTTAAGTTCATTTCGAGATTAATGTAAAGTTTACATTTTTCTATCTTTCTCTTTCTGTAGATGTATACATGTGTGTATATATATATATATATGTACGTAGAGTTAAATAATGTTTTGAAAGGCAATGATTGATGAAAAAAAGTCTAACACGTGCAGTGTTAACGTTATCTTGTATTCGGCAGAAATATGAGGTTATGAAGAATTGGTTAGATTACTACTGTTTTTCTCTGTGTATGTATGTGTGCGTTTATGTGCATGTATATGTGTATGTATATGTATAAAATTTGGGTGTGTATTTGAGGGGTGTGGGGATATTGATGCCGGAAATGTTTGTGCTATCAGATCACGTGAGTTGGTTTTGTAGGGTACTAACAGGGTTACACATAAATGGTTTTTGGAAGTATATATATATATATAGATAGATAATATCTGTGTGTTAAAAAAGAAAAATTACCAGAGAAATTTGAGTGGTGAAAGATAAAAACGGAAGGGAGCAAATCTAATTTCTGGGTGTGTGGGTGTCTATATATATATATATAAATCATATCTATTGATAGAGTATTATGTATTTATTGTAACAGTAAATATAAATAATATTATTTATATAGAAATAACTAAGGAAGGTAAAATGGAATGAAGCAGGTGCCAGTGAGACCGAACACGTACATGCCATTTGGAAATGGAGTGCACTCATGTCCAGGCAGTGAGCTGGCTAAGCTTGAGATGCTTGTCCTCCTACACCACCTCACCACCACTTACAGGTCTTGCTCGATCTCTCTCTCGATATATATATATATATATTTATATATCTCTCTCCCTCTCTCTCTGACATTTCATGTCATCCTTCATCAATTTCTTTTTTTTTTTATATTATTTTCTACTTGCTTGCTTCTCATCACCTCCTGACGGCACAATTGTTTCTCTTAATCACAAATGTTATATAATATATAATATTATATATCAATATATACTAAAGGATAAGATCTATCCAATTCTTTGTTTTCTTCAAACAAATAATATTCTAATATCTACTGTCTGTCTGCATATGAATGTAACATATATATTATATAGGTGCATGTATGCGTGTCCTGTGGCTGGTGTTCTTGAGACAGGGTAATGGTTCCTTTGATTAACTACTAGGCTGTTATTTTGGTGAAGGTAATGATGGGATCTCTATATATATATATATATATATATTTATATGTGCGTATATATACGGAGAGAGAGAGAGAATTTTTTATCAAGGAAAACAAAAGTAATCTTACCACAATCTTCTGTTTGCATCAAAATCCATATATATCCACTAGAAGTCATTTCTATATATGAAAACCGTTACACGTGCATGGCTTGCATGCATGACATATTTATCAAAAACGTATTTTATTATCTCTTACCTCCTTTCTCCAGAAACAAACAAGCTGTCTAGACCCGGTTAAAAGTTTCTATTCATTTCTTCAAATAAGTTAACAATAATATATAATACATGCCCAATGTGATACAGACAGAGATGATGATCAGCCGCTATCCATATAGATATAAATTGTATGCGGGCAAATTACAATTTACCATAAAGTTTAGTTTTTGTTTTGTTTAATAGGTGGCAAGTTGTGGGAAAGGAGGATGGAATACAGTATGGACCTTTTCCTGTTCCCAAACGAGGCTTACCCATAAAGGTAACGTCAAGGAACAAAAAGGCAAAGCCAATATGATTATCGAGGAAGAAGAAAGAAAGGAGTAGTTATGGTTCTCAACAAAATAACCAAAATGTTATTTCAATGGAGGTTTAAAGAAGCAAAAGTTAATTTTTCCTCCATTTTTTTCATTCTGGTTATATTCAACTTTTTGTTGGGAATTAATTTTTCTTCCCTTTCTTCTTTGTCATGTTCTGTGTAAAAAGCTATCTTGGGTTGTTTTTAAAATTTTTTTTTTTTTGTTTATTAAGTTTGTGTAGGTGGGTCATGATTATGCATTTAGGGTTTTGTAATGTGAAATGTATTTTGCAGAGAAGAAAAATGCAAAAATGCAAAAAAAAAAACAGGAAAGTGACAGAAAAAAGATAAAGAAAAAGAAAAGGAAGGGGGAAAAAAGGAGTTTGTGTTTTTTGAGGATCAAATTTGTGTGGTTTTGTTTTGTGGATGAAATGCAGGGGTAGCCATCAAGAACACAAGATATTTCTCTCTTGTCTTCTTTTCTGGTACACAACCTTGGCCAAGTAAACTTTTTGGCTTCCTATCAACGACAAAAACTACAACTGTACAAGGCATTTGGGTTTATGACAGGTGTCGAATTGGGTAGTGTACGCTGAAATTCCACGTCAGATAGCTGACTTGGGAGCATAGCACTTGAGAAAGACTTACATGGGTGACAAAAAGGTCTAAATGACTTGCGTGAAGGAGGAGAAATATGACTGCCAAGAGTAGATGAATGCTAGTGCATGAACCTCTCTGCCGCTGTAGGAATTTGACTCTCTCCTTGATTTTCTAAGGGTTTTATATCAATCTCAATCATGCAGACACAAAAATTTAGTTCTATGTCATCGAATAAGTGAACAAGATATGATTTTTCATGGCCAATCCAAAACATGGTGTGGATTGTCCGAAGTGTCGAGCAGAAATGAAAACAACTTGAAACAACCAACGATATCATTTTCAAAACATATATGTCGTATATGATGTGCAGAAACAGAGGATTACTTAAAAATGCGTGACTAAAACCTAAAAATGATAATTATTTAATTATACATCTATGAGCTATCAGAAATCCAGTAGATGTTCTTGCTAAAACAAACCTGCAACCTGCAATATTATTCCCGAAACATATACGTCATATGGATGTGGACAAACAGAGTATTAACTTAAAAATGAGTGCCTAAAACTTCAAAATAATAATTATTTAAGTATACGTCTATGATCTATCTGAAATCCAGTAGGTGCGCTCCTAAAACAAACTTGCTTTATCTTAACTCTATATTCAATATTTTACAAGAAGCAAATGAACTGACAGAAATAGTAGTGTTCAAATTGGATAGAACGTAAACGTAGAATAACTTACAAGTAAAGTTTAAAATCGTGTAAGCATTCTTCATGAGATACCACAGACTTAAAAGAAAACATACCACAGAAGCAAGAGGAAAAAGAACCTGGATATTCCCTATGGAGAAACTTTGATTGAAATAACCTCCAAAAGAGGAGCTTTCACCCTTGTATTTAAGTGCATTATACTGGAAAAATGTGCAAAGACATGAAAAAACAAAAAGTAATTTGGCTTAATGGGTTGTCTAAGAACAAAACATCAGACCAGTTCTAAAGCAGACTATCTTTTGCAAAGATCTTAAATTTAGCCAAGCACGTGAGCAGATATGTGGTGCAAAACAAGAACAGGCTGATATATTCCAAATCTTGATGAGTTGGCTACCATGTGCATATGAGGTGGCTTCCATATTTCCAAGGTCATTTTCCTATCTGGGATGTTCAACCCCACAAGGACGTCTGCTAAAACAAATAATCATCAAATGCTCTACAATCATTATTGATCTGTTCCATTACTGGACAGTGCTACGACAAATTTGTTCATCCCATTCCTCCACAGTATAACCTGACTGTTTCATTACAATTCATTTCAGTCACTGACTTAGAGGACGCCAAAACACAAAGCTTCCAGCTGTTACTAGACTGTATTTTCACTTTTTGTGCCATTGATAAATTTATTTCCATAGAACAGACAAGAGACTAATCAGAAGCCAATATTTTTGGAGTTCCATTGCAAGGAACATTCAAATGCCAAGTTGGCATGATGCTGTAATTGATGTTAAGGAAACACCGTTTCATCAAGGAAAAGAATCAAAAGATTCAGATTATTTTAACCAGCATCCACATCGCTCTAATTCATCTAAAATTAAGTAGCAGATGGAGATGTTGAAGCTCAGGTGCACAACTAACAAAACAGCAAAGCCAGCTGGTACCCACCAGGACATAACAACTAATTGTAGTGATCTCACCTAAATTGAGCTTCCTGTATTGTTGAAGAAGCACTTGAACATAAGTAGAAAGAAGTAAGAATTACTCCATAAATCTATATAAGAATTAGTTAGTTTTATCCCTTTTCTAATCTACATTATTTAACCAGTATCCTTATCGCTCTCATTCATCTAAAATTAAGCAACAGATGGAAATGTTGAAGCTCAGACGCACAACTAACAGCAGAGCCAGCTGGTACCCACCAGGACATAACAACTAACTGTAAGTTATTTCACCTAATTGAGCTTCCTTATTGTTGATGAAACACTTGTACATAAGAAAAGAAAAAGTAAGGAATTACTTCACAAATCTATATAAGAATTAGTTAGTATTTTCCCCTTTCTAATCAATATTATTTATCTATTAAAGTATCACAATGAGAAATGAAAAAGTTGATTACAAAGAAATTGTGCACAATGAGAGGCACAGACACTCAACTATCTGCAGAGGCAGCTGGTACCCGATAGGAAAATAACGGCTAAATGTAATTTAAGCTCACCTAATTGAGTTAGAAGAAGTGCAGTACCAGTTGGGCTTTACTCATAAGTTATTATTTCACTTTTTGTTGTATCCAGATCCAATTGCTAAATATGTAAGCATGACACATGCTATATCCAGGCTGAAAAGAAAATATAAGCTTTCACCAAATTTGCAACTACACATGATTAATCAAGTTGACTAAGCATGGTCAGCTAAAGTCTGGGCTCCAATTAGATTCTATGAAGGACCATGTTTTTTGATAAAATGTCAACGACAGTGTTTGTTTTCTAACAAGTCCTACCCATCAATCACTGGGCAATAGGCCCATAAGTTACCTCCTTTTCTCCACTTGTGAAGAATGAGGATTTGAAACTCGGCTGTATCAGCCTTAACTCATAGCCCAAAGATAAAAAAAATTCTAACCCATCATCTTCCCCAACTTCACCTTCTAGGCCTTCCCAAAGTCCTAGCAAGTGGAGACACCCTTCCCTACAAATAACATTACTCATAAAAATTCTATGCCCTGCACTGCTCATTTCTTTTCTACTATCCTATACCCCAGTCAAGTTACTTCTAAAGCTCATTTTTATCTTGCTGGTCAGTCATTCTAAGGTCTCAATTTAGTCTCTGCTGATCTTTCAAAGATTTCACTGGAGCTCACTAACCAGCATCATAAACTATGGTTATAGACTAGTCACAATATCAGAGTAGAACTTTCCAGAAGTTTGAAAATTACAGAATAGAGAACAAGAAGAAAGTAACTACAGTTCTTTAGCTTATTCCCATATTCCCTACTAATTTTTTAAATATTTTTGTGAGTCCATAACCATCACTGTAAACTGTAAACTATTACTGTGTAATTTCAAAAAAAAAAAAAAAAAAAAAAACCATCACTGTAAACTATAGTAAAAGGCTATATTAGAAAGAAAACTATAGTCAAAGGCTGGTTTCAATATCGCCTATTGAACTTTCCTTCAGTTTGAAAGTTATACCCAAGAGTATAGATATAGGAGAAAATAACTAGTAATCTTATAAATGTCCGACTGTCTGTTCATTGTATGGATTTCAATCCAAATGCAAAGGTCACTATGATAAAAGCATGGAACGTAGAAATAGAAAGATGTAAAAAAATGGTCAACAAAAGGTTACTAATTAGTTCACTTTTCATATAATCTACAACCCTGTCATTCACAAGAAGAAATTATTAGTAGGAAAATAACAGCTGGTGATAAGAATGTAAAAGAGTTTTAGGACCAATTGTAAACATTAGGTATGTTACGATGCCAAGACATGGTTTGTGCCTGATGTTTATAAAAATATCAGAAATAATACGGCTTAGCAAAAAGGAAAGGAAAGGAAAAGGAGTGGGGTCAAGATCAGTAAAACATCCCATTGGGGTGGAAGCATACAGCAGACTGAAAAGCACTGATCTGTACTGGATTATGTAGCCAACTATTCATTTGTTATGCAAGCATTTCAAAGATTGTTTCTTTCATCACTGTTGATTCCTACAAAGTCATCATTCTAATTATGGTTAGCTTCCACAATTACTGTTTGTTGATGAATTAAATTATCATATCACAATGCATTTGGAGTTGCTTAAAAAAGGTTCTTAAAGGAGGAGGTGCTTATAAGCTACTTAAACTATTTAGGTGTTAAATTTAAAAGCAGTTGCATACTGGATAAAAATGCTTATCGTAAAAAGCAAGCACTTCTTGTATTTTGGTTTTGAAAAATGCAAACATACAACAATTGAATATATTAAAAAGAAAAAGAAAAGCCAATACTGAAGTGCTTACCAAAACTTAATAAGGTGCTTATAGGCACTTTTTGATAGGTCCCAATCAAAACTGTAAAACAACCTGAGATAGTTTCTGCTTATGGTGAGAAAATACCAAGATTTTTTTGGAAATTCTTTATGTACTTATTGCTGAATTGAAGTGCTTTAAATAGAACTTACTACAACGATATCTTCCTACTTTTAAGGTACTGAATTAACATAAAAGATGCAAGTGGATAAGAGGAGCAGATCACGGGATCTTCCTAGACTGTTTCTGGGTCTGTTTTGTTGGTTGCGGACTGTTCTGCAGATTACTTTTTCAACTGCTTTACTTGGGTGTATAACAACCCAGATATTTCGGGTTGCTTACAGGGATTCTTTGACTGCGTCGGGGTCTATCATTACTCCCTGCCTGAAGAGGAACTTTGTCCTCAAGGTTGATGAATCGGTCCTTCAATTCCTTAGCAATTTCCCAGGTGGCGTCTTCAACGGCTAAGGCCTTCCATTTCTCTGAGTTTTTTTCAATGAATTAGGATCCCTTTTTGATCCAGCGGGTGTCCAAAATTGCCTTTGGGTGGAGAATGATACTGCCTTCTTCATTGGTTAGGGGCAGGTCGGTGGTGGCAGGGGTGGATTCGCCAATTTTCTTTTTTAGCAGGGACACATGGAATACCGGGTCGATGCGGGATGTGGAAGGGAGCTTGAGTCGATAGGCGACTTGATTGATTTTTTCCTCAATTTGATATGCAAGTTTTTGCAGTGCTTGTTTGAAAACGGTTTGCTGCCTATATGGTTGTAACCGGAGAAAGACACACTCGCCTTCTTGGAATTCTATATGACGCCTAGAGGCGTTTGCGATTTGTTGCATCCGGTTATTGGCTGCGTGTAAGTTAGCTTTTAGTTGATTGAGTAGGTCATTTCTAGCTGTGATCTGCTGATCAACTTCGTTTACTGCCGTTGTTCCTTAAATGTAGTGTGGCATAGTGGGTGGAGGTCGTCCATATAAAGCTTGAAAGGGAGTCATGCCAATTGAGAAGTGGTAAGTAGTGTCATACTAGAATTCTGCCCATGGTAGAAGGAGCTGCCATCTATTTGGTCGTTGGTGAGTGAGGCATCGTAAATATTGTTCCACACATCGATTGACGACTTCCGATTGCTCATCGGTTTGTGGGTGATATGCGGAACTCATTTTAAATTCGGTGCCTGACATTTTGAAGAACTCCTTCCAAAAATGATTAATGAAGATGGGATCTCGGTCACTTACGATGGATCGTGGTATACCGGATTTGCTGAGACGATCTATGACTACCAAGATCGTATTTTTACCCTGAGATGAAATCCATTGTTATGTCCTCCCAAACTTGGCATGGGATAGGGAGCGGCTGTAGCAATCCTACTGGTGATAATGTTTCTAACTTGACTAGTTGGCCCACGTCACAAGCGGATACATATTCTTGAATAGATTGGCGCATGGCGGGCCAAAAGAACTATTGAACTAGTCACTTGTAAGTGCGGAGTACCCCTGAGTGGCCTCCCATTTGGGAGTTGTGGTAGGCTTGTAACAGTTGTTGAACAACGTTGGACTTAGGTGGATCGATAATTCGCTATTTGTAGTATATTAGGCCATTTTTATCAGTATATGGACACATCGGGTGATCTCGGGCAAGTTTCTCTAATTTTTGTATGTATGAGTTACTCTTAACTGCTTCCCTGATCTGATCCCATAATGACATGTTGGCTGTAAACAAGGAATCAAGTGTAGGGCCGTTAGCTCGTCGTGATAGTGCGTCGGCGGCCAAATTGTCTTTTCCCGACTTGTATAATATCTCATAATCGTATCCAAATAGTTTAGAGACCTATTTCTGTTGTTTTAGAGCGGTGTTTTTTTGATCCATTAGGTACTTAAGACTTTGTTGATTGGTCTTGATAAAGAATTTCTGTCCCAAGAGGTAGAGCTGCCAGTTTTGAATGGTTATGACTATGACCAACATTTCCTTGACATAGGTAGAGCAGGATAGTTTGGAGGTGCCTAAGGCTCGGCTCATATAGGCAATAGGCTTGCCATGTTGGATGAGCACGGGCCCAATTTCGTTCCCGGAGGCGTCGGCCTCAATGGTGAATGACTCATTGAAATCTGGAAGTGCCAAAGTAGGTGTGGAGGTCATGGCTTTTTTGAGTTCTGTGAATGCTGTCTCAGCCCCCTCGTCCCATTGAAAGGATCCTTTCTTGAGCAAGTTTGTCAAGGGCTTGGCTATGAGCCCGTAGTTTTGCACAAACTTTCGGTAGTAACCAGTAAAGCCCAAGAATTCTCGTAGTTCGGTTAATGTTGTGGGGTTTGGCCAATTGAGCATTTCTTGAATTTTTCCTTGATCCACTTTTACTCCCTCAGGTGTCACAATATAGCCTAGATATTCCAGTTTCTAACTGCCGAAGACACTTTTTTTTTTGCTTGATAAAGAACTGATGTTGTCTCAATATTTTAAAAACTTTCCTGATATGTGATAAGTGAGTCTCCCAGTCGAGACTATATACCAAAATGTCATCAAAGAAGACTAATACAAATTTTCGTAAGTATAGACGAAAAATAAAATTCACTACAGCTTGGAATGTAGAGGGTGCATTACATAGTCCAAAGGGCATTACTAGACATTCGCAGTAGGCGTTGTGTGTCCGGAAAGTTGTCTTGTAGATGTCTGATGGTTGCACTCGGACTTGATGGTAGCCCGCAGTGAGGTCTAAGTTTGTAAAATAAGCTGCTCCGTTCAATTCATCCAACATATCTTCCACCATGGGAATGGGGAAACAATCCTTGATGGTGACAGCATTGAGGGCGCGGTAATCTGTGCAAAACCGTCATAACCCATCTTTTTTTCTGACCAAGAGAACAAGAGAGGAGAAGGGGTTGGTTCTTGGGTGAATGAGCCCAGAGTGGAGCATTTCATTCACTTGTTTCTCTATCTCTGCCTTCTGAAAATACGCGTAGCAATATGGCTGGTCATTGATGGGTTCAGTGCCATTTTGAGAGGAATTTGGTGTTCAATGTCTCTTTGGGGTGGCAGCTGTTTTGGTTCCCAGAATAATTCAGAAAATTCCTTCCATATTTCCTATAATTCTTTTCTGTTGTTTGGTGGTGAGACTTCATGATCTTTTGTGAAACAAATAGCATACGCGGAGTATTGGCTGGGAATAGCCCGATTGATTTCCGCCATTGAAGCGACCTGCAGGGAGGGAGGTGATTCGAGGCCATGGAGCAACCTTGGTTGGTTCTGCCATTGAAACTCCATTGTTGACTTCTTCCAATCGCAAGCTAC